CTGGGAAAGTTGACAGAGGTTGTAGTCCCAAGAATACATACAGTCTTCACCGTACATGTGTGTGTCTGCATGCACACAACAGGCTTCATGAAGTTCTTCATATCCAATTCCCTCCCATACACTTACCATCTGCTGAATTCTCTCCCCTGATCCTAGTTCACTACCAATTTGACACTAATGGCAACAAGCAGTAGTCTGTATCAGGACTGCAGGAGTCAGAGCAGAGCAATGGCTCTCCATTCCCTCACCAAAAGTGAACTTTATTTGAAAACCACTATTTCTCTGTTGCTAATTGTGATTGATGTTGGTGTATGCCTGTGCATGTGTGTATGGGAGGCTTCAAGACAGCATCAATGTGGCCCTCAGGGTCAAAAAGGATATGTAGCTCTGTGCCAACCAAGTGAGAACAGGATAGGCATGTGTAAGCAGACCAAAGTGTGTACACTTTGGAAAAGAGAGAACCCTCCTCTGCTAAGCTTCACAGTCTTACATACAGGCAGGGAAAAAGCATAGGGGCTTCAGCTCAAGCAAATAGTTTGGAGAATGTCCCGCAACTTCTAATTTATGGACACAATCACAGATTCACATAGATGGAAGGAAAGGCTTTGTAGTGCCTTTAACAAAACTAATAACTATTATAGTTTTTGAGATTGTAGCCCATTTAATCAGAAACAAGGTAGGATATCAGTCTTCATTTTCCATGGTTGTGCAGATGCATACACATGAGAAATCAGTAGTATTTGTGTGTATCATGTTGCTCCTGTGACATTTTCCTTCAGATCAGAGGAAATCAAAAACTAACCTGTGTGTCTTGTTTGGATTTTTATTTTCTCCTAGGCACTGATCCAAACAAACACTATATCTCAGTGTATAGAAGCCTGGCAGCAATATGGATTATTTTTGGTTTGGCCTGGCTTGCTCTGATCTTCAATCTGGGAGCTAATGTGATGGAAAAATTCCTACAGCTCAACTGGCAAAAACATGACACTGGTGCTGGACAGACATCTGTCACCAAAACAGATGATAATCCTGATCCCCACAGGATCCATATCCCCAGCTGAGGGTGGTTCATGGAATGCCAACTTGAAGAGAGAATAACTGCTGTGCTCCCTTCCTTATGTCTGCAAAGCAAGGTTTGTGGTAAGACATACAGCATCACACAAGGGGAAGAGAAACTATTAACCAGAAAACAACCTCTTTTACTGTACAGAAAGCAACTAAATGAAGCCTTTGGAGGAAGATTAGCTTAAAATGTAGTTGTTGCATGTTTCCAACACAACCAATTCCTTCAGTAAATATCACTTCTGCCTATAATTATTAGATAAGATTGTCTCCTATGGTTCAGATTGGCCTTGAGTCTCCTGAACATCACTTTCTCCTCCAAGAGTAAAATAACTGACACCATCCACATTGTCAAACTATGTTTGCAGAGATCAGTTTTTCTTCCTAACTTGGTAAGAAGAGAAGTAAGAAACTGTCCCCTCTGTCTGCTTCCCTATTTTGCTCAAAGTAAACTCTAGTCTGAATCTGAACCCTCTTAAACCTTTCTGCCCTTTGTGGTAGAACAAGTTTTATACATTCTCGGTAAATTACAGGCAGGTCATAGTTCTGAGTCCCCAGATCTCAATAATGGATTAATTAATTTATTATTTTTTCACTACCACCAAAAGAGGTATGAGCAAGGCCATCAAGAACAGTTGAACCTTTCAGAACAGTAAAGGGAACACTACTGATGGAAATGAGTCAATTCATATTACCACCTTTAGCTATCTCCTAAATAGGCTGAACCAAGTGACAGAGTCTCCACCATTATCAATCAAACCTCCCTTTGTAAATCTAACTATTCATCAGTATGTGGGTATTACACCTACAATTTCTAATGACGAACAATATCAAATGCTGCTGAAAGACCTAGACTATTCAACAGGGTTAGAATTACTCCATTTATTTCTAAGCAAATATCTTCAATAAAGGTTGAAAGCACAATCTCCATTCTGTAACTGTGTCAGAAATGAAACTAGTATGGATCCAAGAATCTGAATGCATCTAGAATATTCTGGCACTGCAAGACAATCAATATTTAAAGCCCTCCTCCCCCAACTCTAACTGAAACTGGTTAAAAGCCAAATGGGTTTGTTGGCATGTCCAAAACTAGCAACAAGTTTATTTTGTTTTTATTTCCCCAGAGGGTGACCCTAAAAATCACTCTTTAAAACTCTTCCTAAAGATTTTTGCCAAAGGATAAGAAAAAGCTCAGTTTGTTAAGGGACAGCCTGCACTTTCCTCATGATATTTTCCATAAAAGTAATAGTCGTGAGCTTTGCTAATGTAACAAAAGATAAAACTGAGTACCTCCAGAACCTTAGGTTAAGCCACAGGCAGCTAGTTCCTGATTTTCACATGTGGATGCATAATTTTATTCCAGAAGACAGTATTTGCCCTCAAATGCATCTGTTTTAAGATACAAGGAGACACAGCCATTACACTCATAGCCTCTGGATTACATATCTCATTTGTAGATTAACAAATTAATTTGTATAATAGAAGAAAAATACATTCACGAGACTTCTCTAGACATTTCAATAATTAGTTTTCTTTCTCCTCCTTTCTCCCTCTATATGTACCGGTATATAGCACAGAAGAGTTGTTAAAATCAGATTTGACACACAGCCTATATTAATTTATAGAATGTTTAATCTAAATAACCAATGGAGAAACCCTGGTCCATGGGCCAAATTTTGCCCATCAATCCTCCTCATCTGGCCCCTGAGGCCTCTGAAAAGGCCCCTTCCTAAACACTCAATCCCTTAGAGAAGGGTCAAGGGACAGGAGTGTAGCTCCCCATTGAGCTATGGACTTAAAGGGCACCCCTGGATACCATGACTGTGTCTCTTTACTCTCCCTCCACTTTCCCCCAATTGCAAGAAGGAGAGTAGTGTGTGAAAATGAAAGAATCAAGTATGTATATGTGTACTATGAGAGAAAGTGCACAAACATGAGTTTCTGGAAAGAACAGAAGTGGGCAGCATGCCGCCAACGGAGTTACCCTGTCCACTCATGTGAAGGTGTCTCCCTGGGTCAAAAGAAAGTTCTCTGCTTTGATGTAAATAGTTAAAGGACCTGACAAAGTTTTAACATTATGCTACACAGCCTAACACATTATTTTGGTGGTGGTCATTTCTAGAGGAATGTTCCTTCACTTATGAAATAAAGTTGTTTTAATGTGTTCTTTCTAATAAAGATGCCTCACTATTATCCCAATCTGCTGCCCATCCCAGCTCCTATGCCTTTGCCTTGACATCATCCATTCAAAAGCATTCGTGTTTCACTTGCATGTCACCTAATGTAGCACCACTGTCTCCTTCTCCTGGATCATGTTTTACAGATACTGGAAACAACTTTATATAGGGATCAACAAAGCAAAATATACCTGGTAGCTGGAAAATGGAATCACCCTAAAAACAAACAAAAATACCATGTCCCCAGTCTTTCTTAAGACTGGCAAAACAATTCACAATTACTATGACTACTGAAGTCACTGATCTGATCTAGCACTTGTTTAAGTGACTAAGGTCCAAAACACATTGCAGAAATAATACAGTTTGAGACCGCTTTAACTGCCTTGGCTCAGTGCTAGGGAATCCTGGAAACTGTAATTTTGTGAGACATTTAGCCTTCTCTGTCAGAGAGCTCTGGTGCCAAAATAAACTACAATTCCCAGGATTACCTAGCACTGAGTCAGGGCAGTTAAAGCGTAGATTTGCTTTATATATATTTAGGTAGTTTGGAATTGATTCTTCTACTCCTGACATCTCATTTTTTGCTATTGCCATCACAGCTGCCTCCTGTGGAATATGCTCTAACCTCCTTCATTATTGCCCAATTGGTTTAGCAGTGTAAAACATAGTGGCTGAGAGGTGATCCTTTTGCAACAGAAACTTGAATAATTTTGTGTTCTTTCATAAATTGTATGGTTGTTGGAAATGTAGACAGGATTGCATAAGGGACTTGACTTACACTGGCCCAAGTAACAACTCTTTCCATTTTATCACACAGGGGAAATCTATAGTTTATCCCATACAAATCCCCAAAAACCCCCGCGATTTCACACGACATCACACAAAAACTGTGGTCAGAAAGTGGTGTTATCCCAGGTCTTTTTACTTTCGGGATTTTAGTGAAAATGCATTTTTGATATTACTGTAATTGTGCATTTACTCTAGTATAAAAGTCAAATTCAGTATATTCACACAATAACACTTTTACTTCTGTTTTGCTTGGGCGACAAACATGCCAGGCAGACATGAGCCTCTCTGCTTTCTCTTTATATACAAGTATACCATTTCTAATACATTTACAGATTTCTTTCACTTCTGTAT